ACCTGAGAGAGAGTGGGCATCTCCCAGAACATTGTTTTGTGCCACTCCCAACAGAAATATTCCAGGTGGTCAACTTCAGCAATCAGGAGCTCCTCAGTTGCTCATAGAAAATCCCACCTTGGAGTTTACAAAGACTTATGGGTAGAAAAGCCACACTAAGTAATTTACTACACCACAATCCCCCACAAAATTATGTTGCAAAAGAAGATTTGTAATAAAGAAATTAGTGTTTTCAGATAGATAGTATAGGTTGAGTTACATGAATAGCAGAATGGCACTATTTGTCATTATTTCCCAAGTTCAAATTTAAATTTAGCTTCACATTGGAAACTCCATTAGTGCTCAGAACTAGGAATAAAGGCAAGATAATTTGTTCTTACATCAAAACAGAAAGACAGTTTTATAAAGAAGTTAGTGCTGGAAATTCATTATATATTCTGATGGCTAAGGATCAGAGAGCTCACCTCATGTTCATTCTGGAGGATTATAGATCTTTAGCCAAAGTTACCATCTGAGTCACATCCTAGCCTTAAAGTGAACAGTAGAGCTGAGCTTGTGGAAGAAATATTGGCTCTAGGAACAGGAATTCAGAGTGGATTGTTAAGATCTGATGGACAAGACTGCACAAGAATTGGGAAGGGTCTTTTGATTTAACTTCTTTGCTGATGTGAGACATCTATAGGACTGATGTCAGAAGTGTGTGCGTGTGTATATGGGGGGTGGTAATAGATTTACGTATCTCTGCATATTAGGAGTAAAAATAGGGTGGATATCAGATCCTGTGCCCAAAGTTAGTTGGATATCTGTTGTGTGCTAGCCACTGTCCTGTTATATTTACTTCCTTAGAATTCACAATAGCATAGCTGAATTAGATGACACAAAACCCCCTCTCACTGATATAGACATACTGCATACAAATACTAAAACAATGTATATCATGTTTTTATTCAATAATATATTTGTTTTCTTTATTTGTACACAAATATATGCATACCATGTAGCAAGGTAAAGGTTCTAGGACCTGGGATTTTAGCAAGTGCAGGAGGCTGTCCATGGGACAGTAGAAATTGGGGGATGGGGGTGGACAGACCAAAAGTGGAAACTTTAAAAAGGTCTGCTTCAGTCTCTGTGGTTGTTAAGGTTGTATATCAACTTGGCTGGGCAGTGGTTTTGAGTGGTTTGGCAGCTGGATGTAGTTATTCTTTGTGATGAAGTTGGAATTACCTCCATGATAGGTAGAATATGCTGTGAATAGCTAAGTAGTTGAGGGGAGTTACCTTCAGGATATGGCCTGCTTCCAGTACATATGGAGAAGCTTTGGGAAAGATCTCTGGCTTTTTGGGACATTTGGATCCTACATTTGGCTGAGTCTTCATCTCTAGTTCCTGGACTTGAGCCAGCAGCCTGTTGATCTTGATATTGTGCCATTTTACCTGTCAATCTTGGATTCATCAGCCTCAGCAGCCAGCCGCTGCCTGAATAAGGAGACACCTCCAGCCTTAAAAAAGAGGCAGAACTGAAGCCCAAGGTCATGGGATCTTCACCCAGCCCCTAGAGCCAGCACTCTGAAATTTGGATTTCTAGCTTTCTGAACTGTGAGAAAATACATTTATGTTTGTTAAGCCACTCATTTGTGGTTTTTCTATTATAGTAGCTAGAAAACTAAGGCAGTTAAGAGAAGACTGGGAAATTTGGGCTTAGTAATTTTGGATCAAGATAGTTTGACATTTGTTTTGTATCTTGGTTCTGGAGCAGTGTGGGGGGTAGGGGAGAAAGCTATTGAAACCAAAATATCTAAATTAGTAGTACAAGTATGTAAATTAGTAGGAATACAAACATATGCCTTTGTGGTGTGGGAACTCCAGTTTGAGAAATTAATGGAAAAACTGGTTCAGGGCCATTTACATTCCTAGATACAGACATGAAGCCAAAAGGGACACTTTCTCAAGAGAGGACATAGTGTGCAGATATGGTATCTACTGAAAGTAAGCACATAACCCCCAAAAACTTCTAAGCTGCACATGGAAACAAATTAGAGAGAGTCATTAAACTTAAACATGGAAATAACTGAACAATCAAAGTGACCACAGAGTAATGACAGGTTATCTATAATTAGACTTAAAACCAACTGCTTATCAGTAACTGAAACCAGAAGGCAACTGGTGATTATTCTCAAAATGGGAGGGTATATAAGTGATTATTTAAAAAGTAATGGATGAGGATTAAGTCATACTGCAAAAAATGATTATTATACAGTTGGAGTTATTGGGGTAAAAAGATTCTAGGGTCCTTGTATTGCTCAATAATACAGACTGATTATTTGTGAATTATGAAACTTGTACTTAGAAATTAATAGTAGTCACTATGTACTATCATAGGAAAGAAATTCCATCTCAGATTTTTGACCACCATCACTGAACTAGATATATTAATCAGTATGATTTGTCTGCTTCTTAAAATGAAGTTGTGAGGGTAAGAAGGAGGTGGCTACACAATGACTGACTGACTTCTTGCTTATGCCAGAAGAGCAGAACTTGGTAACAGTTGTACTAGCTCCTCTGTAACCTATTCATTCTCTACGTTCTCTGTTCTCCCTATACTGAGAGGTGACATTAAAAGAAAAACAGGACTTGGTAAAAGGTTGCAGGTGAGAGTTAGGAAAGTGCTAATCCTAGACCCCATCCTCCTAGAGTAGCAATGGTAAAAATGTTTGTCTTAGATGTGCTTTGGAAACTTCACACTGCTGTTAGTCTTTCATTGAAAAATGGACCCAAAAGGGAGAGGAGTCTCATAGCCTCACTTATCCCTATCTTCCTGCTGTGAAGCTTCTGTGGTTGAAATTACAGCTTTTTCATAGACTTAGAGCTAAAAAAGATCTTGCTAAGTTGAAGTGAGGCCACTGAGTGGTACAGATGGTAAGCACCCACGAAGAGTCACCTCAGAAGACAGACCTGGTGATCTGCTTCTGAAGGGCAACAGCCTTCTAAGCCGTGTGGAGCAGTTATGCTTGGTATACATGGGGTTGCCATAAATTGGAATCAACTCAACAGCAATGAACAACTTGGGAAGAGAAAATTGGTCAATGGGGATGTAAAGCAGTCTTCCCTGCATTGTTTAGACATCTTTACTACTACCACTGAAAAGTTCTCCTTGTTCACCCGCTATAAAACTTTTTGGTTCTGATAAGACAGAAGCATAACCTGGGGGTAAGAGTGGTGATTGGCTCTTTGCAGAGATGTAGCTAGTGCAAATCAACTGTGCATGACAACAAAAAGTTACATACAGAACTATTAAGGTCGTGAACAATTTTGAGTAATCATTATTTTCAAGTTTTAGTTCTTTTTTTGTAGTTAGAATGGACCTCATTCTGTGCTTTTATACTGACTGTGCTGTTGGACATACCCTTTTCTCTTTCTCTACTTAACACTTCAAGCTTTACTTCCTCACTGAGCTCTTCCTTGGTTTTGCCCTTCTCACCCCAATAGAGTGGAGAATACTTTCTCCTTGTTCTATTATTGTATTACACACTGGCTTTTTTAGTGGCTATCATACTGCAGTTGTCTTTATAGATCTTTCTTTCCCTCATATTTACAAGTTTCTAGAGAACAGAAATGATCTCTTGTGTCCCCAATCTCCAGTCCAGTACTTGTTTTCATGGCTAATACCTGGTATATGTACTCATATGTTAAGCAGATAATATTTAGGTTTTAACCTTTTCAGATGAAAACCAAATATTATAAATAAAAGTCCCTTAACATTTTTTTTACTTTCAAATTATTGGAAATCATTTTTTTTCTTTTGCATCCAAAACTTGGTGTCTAGTATTTCATTGGAATGTATTCTGTGAAGTTTCACATGCATCTCAGGGTATAAGTAGGAAAGATTAATTTTGATATCATTGCCACTGCTATCACTAACACTTCCTTCTTGTGTGTGCATGTGGGTGGTAGAAAGCATGCTCTTTGCTTTTTCTTCAAGCACAAATACAAGTGGTTACTAATTTGTAGACTAGATGGAGTTGCTTGGAAAAGCTACTTGTTTATTCCAGTACTGCAGAAAACAAAAGTACACGAGAATGTTTTTGGTTTGCTTTGCCATTTCTTAGGAAACAGAGTAAAATTCTCAGCAGGAAGAATGGAAATAGAGGATATTACTTTTTCAAAGAAATAATAAATTATCAAGAGAACAAGTACTATTCTGGAAAAGCAGTTGATCAGTTTTGTGATTTTGTCCCTTAGTAACTGTGAACTGTGAGAGTCTGCCCAGACATTAAAAAAAAAAAAAGATTTAATCTCTTGTGTAAGAGAGAGAAGGGAGAAAGGGACCTAGTTGGACTTGGCTTTCCAGTTGTGACATGCTGTTATCTAGAATTAAATGTAGAATTGGATGATCTATCTGCATTCCAAAAAGCAAAATAGTGCTCTTGGAGATATAATAAAAACACCTCTTTTAAACAAAAAAAACTATATTAGTGGTTCTTCAGAGTTCCTTGTGAGTGCACGCATGTACGTGCACTCGTGTGTAAACAAAGTTCATTTTCTATGCCCAACTTAGATGTTGTCCTTTTTATTAAAAGAATTTTAATTCTGAGGAAATTGAGCAGAACATATAAATTACAATTATTATCTAACATATAATAATCTCCCTACATCAGGTTCAAGATGTTGTTCCTATAACTAGTTATGACACTGCTGGGTCATTCCTTCTACTGGGGTGTAACAATGGATCAATATATTACATAGGTAAGTGTATGTTCTTATTTAATTGAAATGTTCTTATTTAATAAGACTTTTAAAATAAGAGCAAGAAAACATTACTATTTTTAGTTTTGAATAGATGAAATATTTATTTAAATACTATTTATTTATTTATTTATTTTTAGATATGCAGAAGTTCCCTTTACGAATGAAAGATAATGATCTTCTTGTAACTGAACTTTATCATGATCCCTCCAATGATGCTATCACTGCTCTGAGTGTTTACCTCACACCTAAAACAAGTTAGTACAAGGGGAAATTATTATAAATTTTTGAAGCTTTTTTTTTTTAGAACATGTTTTTATTTATTAGTTTATCATGTAACTAGAACTAGTTGGTCATTTTTGAGAACTGTATCACTAAGGATATTTATCTGTGTTAATCTAAAGTTTACATTTGTTTTAGTAATGAACTCAAACATGACTGATAAACATAATTTATGATGGAAAATTAAAGCTTTTCCTTTTTGGAATTATATTTGTTAAGTAATACCGTAATGTTGTTGCTGTTGTTATGTATCGTTGAGTTGGACCTGACTCATAGCAACCACTCCTTGGGTTTCTGAGGCAGTATCACTACAGAAGTAGATTGCCAAACCTTCCTTCCAAGGAGTGGCTGGTGGGCTTGAACCGCCAGCCTTCTGGTTAGCAGTCAAGTGCTTTAGGCATTTGTAATAGTATTAACAAATTAGAAAAAAAAATTCACCTGTATGCCTCCTGTTACAATAAAAATAATAAATAAATAAAACCTTATTTCTGTCAAGTCGTTTTACGACTCTTAGCAACCCCTTCTTGGGTTTCCAAGGCAGTATCTCTATGGAAGTGGACTACCCAGTCTTCCTTCCAAGGAGTGGCTGACTGGGTTTGAACTGCTAGCCTTCTGGTTAATAGTAATGCCTTAGGCATTATGCCACCAGAGCTCCCCCTGTTAAAATAGGTGAGACATAATTAGCAACTTTTACTTTTTAAGCAGTAACAACAAAAAGCTCTTGGACCATGACTCTCTATTGGCAAGTGAGCCTACCTCCTGGGGAAGTTTTAAATTTAAGTTGTGGAAAAGAACAATTTTATTTGGCAGTTCAGTGTATAAAGCTTTCCTTACCTTTCTAAATAAGGCCACTGCAATGAAAGTAATAGATTAGTTCTGTAGAGTAATTAAGAATTTTTATAATTCAGGGTGACAGATAAACATAATGGGACATTTTAAATTTATCTGTAATGACAGGAATTCTAGGAAATACTGACACTTGTCTAATAATATCCATAATAGGTTTGAATGTATTTGCACAAGATTTACATTTTACTGAATTAATTAAAAGAAGTCATAATCTCCAGTATGAAAGGAATATTTTTCCATATTCAGATGAATTTGATTGAAAATACAAAAGAATTTAATCTGTATTGTTGTTACTCTAGAATAAGGTTCAGCAAACCAAACTCGACGGTAATAAGTTTGGGTTTTTTGGTTTTTATAGGGTTTCTAAGGTTGTAATGTTTACAGAAGGAGACTATCACATCTTTCTTCCATGGAGTGACTGGTGGGTTGGAACCATTGACTTTTTGGCTTGCAGCCGAGCACTTTAACCACTGCATCACCAGGGCTCCTGATTCCTCCTTGATATTTAATATTATTGTCTTAGTTATCTAGGTTCTGCTGTACCAGAAATACCATAAGTGGATGGCATTAACAAACAGACATTTATTTTCTCATAGGAGGGTAAAAGTCCAAATTCAGGGTGTAAGGAAAGGTTTTCTCTCTTTGTCAAGTCTGGAGGAAGATCCTTGTCTCCTGTTCTCAGTGATCTTCATGTGGCTTGGTATCCATCTTCCCAAATCTCTGCTTGCTTCTGTGTCTCGCTCACTGCTGTCGAGTCGGATACGACTCATAGCGACCCCTCCTTGGGTTTCCAAGGCGGTCTCACTAGGGAAGTAGATTGCCCAGCCTTCCTTCTGAGGAGTGGCTGGTGGGTTTGAACCGCCAGCCTGCTGGTTAGCAGTAGATGCCTTAGGCACAACGCTACCAGAGCTCCCTTTATGGCAGTGAGGTTTGTTTTTTCTTTTTCTTTTTTTTTTTTTTTTAATATAATGAAAAGTGAGTATAAAACTAGGAAACCTTTACAAATCAGTGAGCTTTTGGCCTTTGTAGTAGCAGGGGAACTTTGTAGGCATGAATGTGTAGTCATCTTTTAGGTTATGAGAAGTGCTTTCTATGGCACGTTCTTTCTCTTTTATTCAGGTATTTTAGGTGAATCGGAAACAATAGGCATTAAAGCTAAAGAGTTCTCTGCCTATAAAATTTCGAAAAATACAGACCACTGAGCTCCACCCTCAGTAGAGTAGTGTAAGAATTTGTGATTGGGTCTGGGTGCTTGTATTTTTTTTTTTTTTTTTT